CTAGACGTCCAAGCAAGCAAATTGGGACCAAAGTAAATGAGAAACCTGCGATCGTCCGGACAACCGGCCCAATCGGCATCCGTAAAGGCTGAAACAACCCGAGAAGAAGACGGTCGCAAACACAAGCCATGTTTAACAATTCCACGAAGATACCGAATGACTCTCTTCAGAGCTTGAAAGTGTGCCGTTGTGGGGTGATGCATGAATTGACAAAGTTTGTGGACCGCAAAACAAATGACAGGACGAGTAAGTGTAGCATATTGAAGACTACCACACAACCGCCGATAAGTGATCGCATCATCAGAGGATAAAGAGTACCCATCATGGCGAGAAACAACACTGCTGGAGGCCATGGGAGTGGAACATGGCGGACAAAAAGACATGTTTGCTGACCGAAACATGTCAAGGAGATATTTTCGCTGAGAAAGCAGCAAACCTTGCGGACGATGGAGGACTTCAATACCCAGGAAGAAATGCAATTTTCCAAGATCTCTGATGGCTAACTCAGTCCCAATGCGAGAGATCACCTTCTGGACAAAGGAAGGAGTGTTCTCTGTGATTGTAACATCATCTACATACACCAATATAAAGCATACACAATTCCTGGATGAATAAATAAAAAGTGGAGGATCACACCGAGATGTCCAAAAGTGAAGTGTCAAAAAAAATCACTAAGGCAAGAAAACCACGCCCTTGGAGCTTGCGTAAGCCCGTAGAAGGATTTGTGCAACTGACAGACAAAATTCGGACAGAGAGGATCAATGAATCCCTGAGGTTGAACCATATAGATAACCTCTTTTAAGTTCCCTTTGAGGAAAGCATTACTAATGTCGAGTTGGTTGATCATCCAAGAATGAGTCACAGCCACGGAAAGTACAGTCCGAATGGTGATTGGCTTGATAACGCTAAATGTGTCGGTATAATCAATACCAACGGTTTGAGTGAAGCCCTTTGCAACTAATCGAGCTTTACAACATTCCAAACTAACGTCCAGGTTGGTTTTTGAAAGAATTATATTTCTGTGTGTATTACCGGTTGTACATTGAGATATATATATATATATATATATATACACACACACACAAGAATACATAAAACCTTAGCCGACTATTCCGAAAATCCTAATTTGGTTTTCTTAATTACATACTCTATCATCCCCCCCCCCCAATCGTAGCAGAATGAGGAATCATGCCTATATTGGTTTTAAGCAAATAGAATTTATCTTTAGCTAATGACTTGGTGAAGACATCTGCAAGTTGAGATTGTCACTACAAGAAAATGGGGTGTTTAATGACCAAGTCAAGTGGTCAATAAAAGACAAATTGTCGTCATTAATAATATATAATGACGACTATCCAGTCGTCCCCGGTTTGTCATTACAGGGGTGTCACTAAATCTTAATACTTACGACAATTCTTATTTGGACACTAAAGTTATATATTTAATGACCATGGGATGTTCGTCATTAGCATTAGTTACGACTGTAAGTCGTTACACCATTTGGTCAATAAATACTCAATCCCGTCACTATTAACATCACTTTTAGTGATGTATTGTCATAGTAACCATTTCAAGAGGTCACTAGAAACCTTCAGTCGGCTCTTTCATTAACGGAGAAACAGTGACGTAAGTAAACTTTTTTGACAACATATAGTCGTCATTATACTACATCAAATTAATGACTAATTTTTTACACTGACTATATTTTCTTGTCACTATAATCAAAAGTCTGACTTTTTAATGGCCATTATAAAGATGACATCATCATAGCCTAGTGACAGCTTCAAATCGTGAATACTTTACATAAAAGCAGTTACACCAGATTGATGACATGAAGGTAGTCATAACATTCATTTATTATACAAGGGTATAATTGCCAATTATTATTTTGTTATAGTGACCATTACTACTGTCAAATAATGTCGTGATTGCATTAACTCACCATTAGTTTATTTTTAGGGTAAAATTGTTATTTAACAAGTGATCAATAATGACTACACTTATTGTCGAATAATGTCGTCGTTGTATTAGCTCATAAATGGTCAATCAAAATGTCAATAGATTGTCACTAACAAAAATTTGGTAATTAAAATGGGTCATTAGAAAACCATTTATTAGTGACAACAATGTTATTAAAATTGCAAATTTAAAATGAATAATAAATGTAGAAATTGTAATTATAAAATTTATTGCAAAGTATCCAAATTAAATAATAATTTCTAGATAATTCGCTGATTACAAAAAGAAAAAAATAGAATCCAAACCAAAACTCACAACTACACTACAGTGTAGTACTACAAAACTCAATATATTTCCTGACTAAACAACAATGAATACGTAATCTTCGAGTTCTTCGAATACAATCCATATCTTCGAATAATGTGCATTCATGAGGATTCACTGCAATCATTAAATTGCAAGAAATAAAAGAGAGTGATAAGTATTTTCTTTTCTTGTACAAAAATAATAAAAGAATAAATTTGAAAATATACACTTACATCTTTATTATGCTTCATGTATGACTTGTTTGTCTATAATGGTGACTTCAACACACGCAAAATTCAGTCTCGTATATACATCGGACTATCGATTCCCACTTCTAGACAAGCAAAAAAAGAAAATTAGAAAACTGCATTGCCTTGATTTAGGGCCTCAAGGGACCCCATACTCCGAAGCCACCGTAGGTATCAGTAAGCTCCAATACCTTCCCATCGCCTTAAACAGGTTTTTATGGGCAAGTAAATTAAAAAAAAAATTCTGGAACTGACTATCTTTATTTAAAACTATTCAGATCTGCAAATCAAAAAGGGGAAACAGAGAAGCAAATAATGAGGTCGATGACTCTGAAGAAATTGGTAAAAGTGGGTGACCGATGAGAGGAACTGATGACTGACTCTGGAGAAATAGAGCCTGTGGCTAAGGGTTTTTGAGAGGAATTGGTGAGAGCAAAAGAGGAGTGCCGATGATTGATGACTTTGGGGGGGGAATCGGGAAAATTGAAGCACCTTTTTTTGCCCAAATATTTTCAGTTCCCTCTCTTTTTCACGTTTCCCTCTCCTATATTCTCTTTTTCTTTTTCTTTTTCTTTTTTTTTTGGGTGCAAAATAGTTTGTTATTTTAATGAATTTTGATTAAAACAAACTAGTTTTTTTTTTTTTATATTTAATGTCCTTTCCTTGATAACATATGATTTATTTAATTTTCTATTTTTCTTTTGATCCGTACTTCATTCTATGTCAATTTTTAATACAACTGTCATATTACTAAAGTAACCATTGGTTAATTAAATAATGAAGTTTCTCCTATCAAAATTTATTTTCAAGGTCATACTTTTTACTAATTATTATTATTCAAATGTTAGTTCATACTGAAGTAAAAATTACATTTCAAGTATGTTAGTACATATTGAAGTAATAATTTTAACTCTCTATTTATTAATCTCGTATGCTATAAATGGTTTACCATTCCTCATTTATAATATGTATTTCCATAATCGATTTGGCATTAATCGGAAAAAACACATATCTATATATACTAATAACAGTATATATAATTAATAAGACTATTTGAAGTACCAAGCACTATTATTAATCTTAAATTAAGTGTAGAATATGCTTATTTAAATAAATATTAGCACTTCCATCCCGATATTGTTGTCCAATCCTGAAATTATTGTCCTGTTTGTATTTTTATTTTTAGTTCAAATTGTACTACAAGTGAAAATCCAAACTCGACAATAATTTGGGAATAGAGGGAGTAAATAATAGTTGTTACTTTCTTTGGAATGTAGAACACATGCTATAATCAACTATTGTATTAGTTAGTTTTGTCTTCTATTACCTTAAATAAAGAATTAATTATTTTTCTCTATTATACACACATTATATGAATGTGTCATATTATGAAAATGAGAAGTTTGACAAAACATAAAACTCAAATAATTTTCTACGTAGAGAATTATATAACTTTTTTTTTGGTACAAGTAAAGGAGGCATATTGTCTAACAGACTATATTATTACAGAGCGTTAGTAGGATACACCAAGTATATCATGATAGAGCCATAATTTCAATTCATCTGGAGGGTCATCCAACCAAGTCAATCCTCCAGGACTGGTCGCCGCTAGTGAAACTAGTGAATCTACTGCAATGTTCCACGAACGACCAGTGAAGCCCAATTGTCAGTCACATTTGAATGCCATGTTATAAACAATTAGGTGTAACAAGGTATGTCGAACCATGGCATTATATTTTGTACCGAATATGATGCAAAAATAGAATATTCCAAGCAATTTTTTCACCTAATTTCATTACACTCCAACCTAGCTAAATGCACCAAGTTTCTAAATGCTTTAGGTTTGAATTTTACTTTAGTGGTCAAAATCTTATCGTTTGATGATAATTTATGTAGTTTAAAATCACTTTTGTTTGATCGTAAAAGTATCATATAGATTCTTTTATTTGTTGAATATTTAATTTTAATAATGACCAAAAAATATTTTCCAAAAAATATAAGTAAAAAAAAAGCTCATGTAAATATACAAGGGATTATGAGGGAAAGAAAGAAAATAATAAAAAAAATTTAGTGGGAAACATCATCATCATTAACGTGTAAGTGCAGTAGTACATAGAACTTAATCAATTATTTATACTATGTTAGATTCTTTATAAAAAATAATAGTCCGACTGCCTGAATCCTAATGTATACTTGATCTTCCTTTTCCCTTGTCGTTAATCAAGTATGTACAGCCATTTTTTAAAAGGTTTCTTTGTATTCATAATGTTTTTATTCTGGCATAAATGGAGGAAGTTGGACTCACAGAGTTTGTGTCCTTTTCTTCATAGCTTTTAATGAAACTTTAGCGTCTCTATTTAGTTTTTAAATAAGTATTCATTTGTGAGATTCTGAAGAACTTTGGTTGTAGTTTATAATTGCCATGATTCAAACCTGTAGATGGTTATAACTTATAAATCTCCATTTTTTTTTTGTTATAAATTGTAGATGGTTGGACCAGGAATGAAGAATATTGGGAAAAATCCCATAATCCAAACTGAAAACATGCAACGCTTCTCCAGAGGGAAACGAGTCCAGGCCATCTTTACGCCAAGTATCCGAGAGTTTAATTTGCGAGATGAAGAACTAGATGATGATGTACATGCATCATCAACTGTAATTGTTCCACGAGTTGGGACTAAGCGTCCACTGGCATTACCAGAAAATTCCATGGCAAAAGATGCTCAAAACACAAGAGACTTGACTCCTACTAGGAATGAGGAGCAAATTGTTCAAGCTCCTACTAAGGCTACCCGCATAACTAAAGGTGTATAAATCTTAGGAAAAAAATCTGGTTATTCTGTTTTTTTTTCTTCTGCACCATTTGGTTTATTTTAAAAACAATAATGTTTTATCTTTCTCTTACGATGAACACTAAATGCTAGCTGCTCCGGCAAAGAGAGGAATTACAAGAAATACCCGACTAGCTAACAAAAGGAATGCAAACGAACCTGTTGTGGTGGAATTCGATGAATCCTCCAAGCGTATAGTTGGTCCAGGATCACAAGACTTCATTCAAGAATTAGGTTGTGTTGTTCGTAAAATGGCGGATTTCACTTTGAAGAATTTCCAGTCACAAAAAGAGACTTTGATCGATGACATCATCAAGAATGCATCGATATGTATTAACATTTGGTTGAATATAGATTTTGCAAAAAACTTCTTTTCATAGTTCGATATGAGGATGGACCTTCTCCTGATCGATGACATCATCAAGAATGCATCGATATGTATTAACATTTGGTTGAATATAGATTTTGGTTAAAACGCGCAGGATGGCGTTCGATATGAGGATGGACCTTTAGCAAGAGAATGAATTTTTAAGCAATTGGCGAGCCAGTTCAAGACTCACAAATTTAAATTGCATAAGATATACAAAACATATGAAACAAAGGATCTTGCAAAGATGACTGTTCTGGAAGGAATGGATGCTAGGGATTGGGCAGTTCTTTGTGAAATTTTTGATGTTGATGATTTCAAGGTTCGTCCCCATTGTGTTTCGCATCTATGTATTATTGATTTCACCTAGATTTTTCTTTTGCTACAAATCAATGGAACATAAAAATGATTGACTTGACTATTTTGATTGTATGTGTGCCAAAAAATCTCTGCAAGGAATACAAAGAACAGAGCTCTTTTGGAAGTTCCACCTGCTACTGGAACCAAATCTCTTGCAAGATATATTGAAGAAAAGGTATAGACGATGTGGCTGCATCATTGGAATTTTTTATATCTTTATTGTTGCTTCTAATATCACTTTTTTGTTATAGAAACGTCTGGAAAATAGAAAAGTCACTTATATTGAAGCTTATAAGGTGGGCCATTATTCTAACATAAAGGGCGCGATGGTTAATGAGAAAGCGAGTGAAACCCTGGTATTTATATTCGTTGAAGGAATGAAATTCTCTTTTTTGATTGAAACATTACTAATCCATGTCTTAGATTTATTAAAAATGTGAATATGTGTGTTTTGGTTAATTACATTATAGGCTAAATTAGAAAGTCTGAAAAACACTACGGACATGGATGATATCGATGTTTGCCTGGAAGTCATTAAGGGTTTACTTGGTCATGCACGTGGACGATCCACACCAAAGAAACAAGTTTTAGCAATTGAAAGAAGCCGTGATGAGATCGAAAAGGCCGATAAAAGAGCCGAGGAAGCAAAAAAAGAAAGACAACTTTTGGCTGAACAAGTTGCTATTAATGTAGAGGAGTATAAGAAATTGAAAGAGCGTCAAAAGCAGTCCGATGATAAGTTAGAAGAAATGAATCGCAAACTTCAACTTCTTCTTCAAGGCCAATCTCCAAATAATGTAAGTTTGTGAATATATCAATATCCATTATAAGTTGAAGAAGCTTATAGTATTTTTCTCCTTTGTTTTCGGCAATAATGCATATAATATCATTGTAATAATTTTATGCAGTGACTCCACAGAGAGCTCAACAAAAAGTGGTGTTCAAAACTACAAACAGAAAGCAGAGCTTGATATCGTTGAACAACACCTCAAACGTGGATGCTTCCTTCTTTTTAATGCTTATTTTCAAATTCCCATGCTACTATGTGCGTGGATGGTTTCTTTTATCATTATTTTTCATATTGGCAGATTATTATGTTAGTTGAATTTCTCCATAAGACTTCATTAGTGGTTTAAGCTTGTAATAAAATTTCCTTTTGAACGAGTTATCGTTCTTTTTTTTATTTTGTTTATCGCAAATTAAGGTTTTTTTTTTGTACATATTGCAAATTAGTTATTAATTAAGGGAATTTTTTTTAAGATGAAGGGGAATCACTATTGGTTAAAGGTGAATATATAAGATTTAACTATATTTGATGTAGTTAGATGTTATCTTCTACTATGAATTATGGACTCCCATTTGATCTGGGACAATGAATAATAAAATTGCATACGGGACTGTTTAAGTATTTCAATAGGTGGCCGATTGGAATGAGTTTTGGTTTAGGACACTTCGGATCTTTCTTTGTTCTTTTAATGTAAATATTAGATGAAATTAAAGTAGTTTAATATGTGGGGTTAATGTGCCTTGTCTTTTTCTAATCTGAACCAAGAAACAAGAAAGTAAAACAAAAGAGGGTGTTGTTCATGGTTTTCTTTTTGAATTAGAAACGGAAAAGGAAAAGGGGGAACTATTATGCTGTTTTAATTGATTTAATTAGAGGAGGGAAGAAAGGGAGAGGGAGAGAATTATGGGGCTGGTTCTGGACATCATGACTAGTTCCTAGTTGATTTTATTTAACGAGTTATGGTTCTTTTTCTTTTCTTGTTTATTGCAAATTAAGGGTTTTTTTTTTTGTACAGATTGCAAATTAGTTATTAAGTAAGGGGATTTTTTTTAAGATGAAGGTTATCACTATTTGTTGAAGGTGAAGATATAAGATTTAACTATATTTGATTGAATGTTTTCCATTTTACCAAAAATAGACCCATTTTGACTTACAATCCACCTCCATGTCTCAATCTCCACGGCCAAGAAAAGAATTCTAATCAAACAACAATTAGTAGTAGTTGATTCTAATCGGGTAAAATTTCTACCTCCACCAATGGATACGACTTTCAAGTTCAGGGCTTCAAAAATATTCCCTTTCGCCTTTCTATATAAACCTTAAAAAAAATCTCAAATTTCACCATACATCTTGCTGCTGTTGTTGACGTTTATAACTGCTATTGTCAAGTATAGGTATGTTAAGATTTATTTATTTGCATAGGTTTAGATGAGTATATTTCCATAGATTTTTTATTCTACTGATTTATATTCCATGTTTCACCACCTTTGATGTTTATTAGAATCTTAGTGATCTTTGGGCACCGTGGTCCTTAATTAACTTAATTTAGTTTAGGGTGTTCAGATTAATTTGGAGTGATATGCTTTAATTTACTATCAATCCGTTTGTGGTATGTATAATTCAGTCTTATCGTGATGATTTCAGCACATACAATTAACCTACATATAATATACATACATGATACATTTCTCTGCATGTTAATATTAACAATTCATGACAATGGATCAATTTTAGCCTAATTCCACTATTGCTAGAGAATGCCCACGAGCACAAATGGCCATTTTTTTGACACATTGTGCCCACTCTTTCTATTACTATTCAATTTTGTATTTCACCGTGTCCTTTAATTTTTTTTATTGTGCCATATTTTTTTAATTAATCTATTATTCAAATTTATCTTGTACTTAATAATAATTAACAAGCTATTATCTTTTGCCATTGGCTAACAAGAAATTAAAAGATATGGGACAGGGACAGGGGAGCGCGGCCGCATCACTACTGTGTGCAATATATATATTGTTTGCAATTATTATATTGTGGTGTTGTTCATTTTTTTTTAAAAAAAACTATGTTCTAGAGAAACTGAATAATTGTTAAACAAACAATTTTTTTCAGGTTTTTCCTGAAGCCGATCAAGTTTATTTAACAAGTATTAAGGTAAGTTTGATTAGTTTGTGATTTTCATGAAATTTACTTGGATAAAAATACATTTTTCAAAACGTTGAAATTTTTAATATAATCTAATGCACACGAACTGTTTGATATCATATCCAAGTTCAAATCAGATGTATATGACTAAAATAAATTATTTTCTTTTCAATTGTTTCAGTCAATGGATAAGAGTTGGATACAAATCCATAATAGAACAGACAAACGTTATGGAAAAGGTGTGACTGAATTTTTGGAGTTTGCATATAAGAACTTGGATGAGTCAGATGAGATTCCTTGCCCTCGCAAAATATGCAACAATTATTTTGATGGTACAAGAGAGGAGGTGGAAAAGCATTTATATGTTAATGGTATTAGAACCAGTTATGTAAGGTGGATGTTTCATGGTGAAGATGCAACAAATAACACAAATCCAGAGAATGTAGTGAATGGAGAACTTGAAGATGGGGATGATGACTTAGAAGAAATGATACGTGGTATTGGACAAGGTTTCTGGATGAATGAAGATGTGGATGAAAGTTATAGGGGAAGAGACACAGATGGAATAATGCGACTATTAGAAGAAACAAAGAAAGAACTTTATCCAGGATGCAAGAACTACACAAAATTATCATTCGTTGTAAACCTTCTCCATTTGAAAACAATGCACGGTTGGACAATCAACTCTTTTGATGCTTTGCTCGGAGTATTGAAGAAAGCTCTTCCTACTGAAGCTTCCATTCCACTTTTTTATTATGAAGCTAAAAAGGTAGTTCGAGATATGGGTTTCAAATATGAAAAAATTCATGCATGCGTCAACGATTGTATTCTTTATTGCAATGAATATGCATCCTACACTAAATGCCCAAAATAAAAAATGCGGTGAACTAAGATATATGGGAGAAAACTCAAAAGTGCCTCGAAAGGTACTTCGGTATTTTCCTTTGAAATCAATCGTACATTTTTTATGAATAGAGAAGTGGCTCGCGATATGATATGGCACCAGGAAGAAAGGGATTCTAAAGATGATAACATCATGCGACACCCAGCAGACAGTGAAGCATGGAAACACTTTGATATGGTGCATGGGGATTTTGCTAAAGAGCCTCGTAACATAAGGTTAGGTCTTGCTTTTGATGGATTCAATCCATTTGATATGAGTAATTCATATAGTATTTGGCCTGTGTTCCTTATTCCTTACAATTTACCGCCATGGAAATGCATGAAAGATCAATTTTTGATCATGTCAATGTTAATTCCTGGACCTAAATCTCCAGGGAAAGATATTGATGTATATTTGAAACCTTTGATTGATGAGTTGAATGAGTTGTGGAATGATATTGAGGTTTATGATGCATATAAAGAGGAAACATTCTTATTTCGTGCTTCACTATTATGGACAATAAATGATTTGCCTACATATGCCATGCTCTCTGGTTGGAGCACACAAGGATACTCTGCATGCCCTATATGTATGATTGATACAACTTGTATACATTTAAGTAATAGTAAAAAGCGGTGTTATATGGGGCACCGCAGGTTCTTGCCAAAAAATCATAGGTGGCGAAAGGTGAAACATGCGTTTGATGGTACTAGTGATATGAGAGATCCAGTGATGCTCAAATCAGGACATGATATTCAGAGAGAATTGCAACTCCTTGCACTTGAATTTCCTATTCTCGGAAAGGGGAAAAAGGTTATTGAAGAGGCACAACCAAAGCAGCAACGAAAGCGTAAGCGGTAACCAAAGAAGAATAATAAGGAAAAGATGAAATGGACAAAGAAAAGTATATTTTTTGAGCTACCATATTGGAAAGATCTGAAACTGAGACATAATCTTGACATCATGCATGTGGTAAAAAATGTGGCTGAGAGTTTAGTTGGAACAATCATGGACATTGCTGGAAAAACAAAAGACACATGGAAAGTTTGAGAGGATTTGAAGGACTTGAAAATTAAGGAGGACCTACATTTGAAGAAAAACGGTGATTCATTTGTTATGCCTAGGGCATCTTACCAGCTAACAAAAGAGGAAAAGGAAAAAATAATTGATTTTATGGCGTCAATAAAATTTCCAGATGGTTTCGCTTCAAATATTTCTTGTTGCATAAAGAATGGAGAATTTCAAATGTCTGCTATGAAAAGTCATGATTATCACATTTTTGTGCAACGAATTCTCCCTGTGGCAATCAGAGGCAGTTTGACCAAGGAAGTTCGACAAGTAATATTTGAACTTTGTTCTTTTATTACTACCATGTGCTCCAAAACTGCTTATTGGGATATTTTAGAAGCAGAAGAGAAAATTATTGTAGTCATATTATGCAAGTTGGAAAAGTTGTTTCCTCCATCTTTCTTTGACATAGTGGTGCACCTTTTGGTTCATTTACCATTAGAAACAAAAATCACTGGTCCACCCCAGTTTCGATGGATGTATCCAATTGAGAGGTATTCTTTGTTTGTCTTACTTTTTCTTTTTTTCTTCCATAAATTTATACAACTAACATATTCTTTTAATAATTGAGTAGGAAAATGGGGACTTTGAAGGGATACATAAACAATAATGCACGGCCAGAAGGTTGCATAGCCGAGCGATACATAGATAAAGAATGTCTAACTTTTTGCTCAATGTATTTACACAATGTTGAAACAATGTTCAATAGAGTTGAGCGGAACAACGACATACCGGCAAAATTCGGAACCTTGACTTAGCCAGAATTAGTCAAGATACATGCATACATATTAAATAACTGTGATGAAGTTAATCCATATGCAATGTGAGTACACTTTTACTTTTTCCCATTATATATATACATATATATTTATATATATATATATATATATATATATATATATATATTTACACACATATTTACATGATTTTATCTTATGTTAGTGAGCATAAGGAAAAACTCGAGAAAGAGAGTTATCAAAACATAGATCAAAGGCATGAAAAAGAATTTTCCCATTGGTTTCGCCAGCAGGTAAATGAAGTTTGCTTTTAAATATTACTCGCAATAATTTTACATATTTCTTTTAAATTTTTTTCCAACAACTAAAATATGTCTTTTCAACAGATTATGTCTTCAACAAATACATGCCTTGAAGAAATACGATCATTGGCAGTAGGCCTGGATAATAGAGTTACACGATATACTGGCTGCATGGTAAATGGTTATAGATTTCATACTCAATCTCGTGAAAAGGAAAGGAAGACACAAAATAGTGGAGTTGTTGTTCAAGGAATACATGGGATTAACACAATCGACTTTTTTGGTGTGTTACAAGACATTATTGAGGTCGAATATCTTGTTGGGAAACGCAAAGTAGTGCTATTCAAGTGTGATTGGTGGAATGTAAAAAATTCATCAGGTATGCAAATTGATAAAGAATCAGGAATGACCAGTGTTAATTTTTCAAAGAAATGGTACACAGACCAACCATATATACTTGCATCACAGGGTATTCAAGTATTCTATATGAAGGATATGAAATTGAATGGTAATTGGTATGTTGTTCAGAAATTTAATCCTCGAAATTCATATGATCTGGCAACCCTTGAAGATGAGGAGTTAAGTGAAGAAATCGACCAAGAGGCAGAACCGGAACTGAATGTAGTAGTTGACTTAGATATTGAAGACCCTCCGCTCTCAAGATCTAGTTTACCATTACAAATGGTTGATTCATCATGCGTGATCTATCCAGTAATGAAGTTGAAGAAAATGTTGATGCATTTGATATTGAAGATGATGGTGATAGTGCAGAATCATCTGAAACAGAATAGTTTTCTTTTTTTTTTTCTAATCATCGTTTTTATAATTATATTGTTCTTTTTTAAGTCTTGTAATAAAAATGTGTTGATCGATGACATACATGAAGAAGTTATAGATATATTCCTTTGTTATTTTGATACCAAAACAAATATCTTAATTATATGAAAATAAATTTTAATGTGAAAAAATAAGAACTTTTTCATCGAGCATAAAATTCAAAGTTGTTAGTTCAGTTTAGTTTAATATAAGTTTTTCTTTTTTTGGTAAGTGAAAAAACATATAGTGATGACTTTTCATGGTCATTACAGTTAAAATAGATTAGTGATGGCAAATAACGTCACAATACATTTCAATTAAGGCTTTTGTAGCGACGATGGCAAAAAGTCGTCAAAAAAATGGTAACTAAGATTGGTCATCTAGACGTGAATGCTTTCCGCCCCACAATTTGTTACGACTTCTTGGCCACTATATAGGCTTCGCCACTAAAGCCAATGACTGTGACCAAACTTTGTGACCACTATTGGCCCTGCTACTAAACAGTGCCTTTAATGACCAATATCACCTAGTCATTATATAATATGGCCACTAAATGGGGGTTTTTCTTGCAGTGAACTGGGATGACCTTGACGAGCATCCACCTCTCAATGTTGGCTAAGAAGACTGCGGGTGATGACAAGGAAGAAGTGGATCGACCGCCAAATTTGTAGAGTCCTAACTCAGTTCCTCCTCGCAGGAGTATCGCCTGAGAATCTCGATCCTTAACAACACAAGAGTAAGGGTGAAATTCAACAGAACAATTGTTATCACGGCATAACTTTTGAACGGATAAAAGAGGTTTAGTAAGAGACAGAACACATTATATATCACGTAAGTAGAGATATTTTTTGTGAAAAAGGAAGAGAGGAATGACCAATACGAGTGATAGGGAGGAATGTACCATTACCAACAGCAAGTTCATCAGCGCCAGTGTATTCATTAGAGATGCTCAACGATGATAAATCTGGGATAGCATGATGAGTAGTGCTCAAATCAGGATACCATGGTGTGTTAGTGGCAGGAGGAAAGGTAGCAGCGAGATTGGCCTGAGGGGGATTAGGAAGGAGACCATCAGAAGGGCCGCTGGGAAGTGAGATCGAGGGATAAAGTTATGATCAAAGCGTCTCCGACAAGTAGCAGCTGTGTGATTGGAATAACCACACAGTTGACAAGCACCACCAACTGATGCACCAGGATGATTGACAAACCCTCGACGACCCCCGCGGTTGGCATGACCACTACGAAATCCTCCACACTGCGAACCACGACCGCCACGAGACGAAGAGGTTGATTGTGCAACTAGGGCAGTAGGAGGAGTAGGTTGCTGAGATTTCAACAGCAGCTCATAAGCAACAAGCTGAGAGTGAAGTTTGGGAAAAGAGAAAGGGTCGGGTCGTTGTTGAAGAACACCAATGATGCCATTGAAATCAGATCCCAATTTTCTGTAAATTAGGGCATTGAATTCAGCCGCATAAATTGGATGCTCTGCCATGGCTAATGAATCCGCAAGGGCTTTAGCTTTGTGGAGAAAAGTGGAGACAGACATGTCGTTTAGCCAGGTTATGGAGTTCTAGAACAATTTGGGTTTTTTGCACATGAGAAAGCAGCCCATAGCTTTGTGGCAAGACTTCCCAGGCTTGAGCGAAGGTAGAAACACCTTGAAGGCAGGGAAAAATAGATTCAGAAATGGATGAGAGAATACACGAAAAATGAGTTGATCCTTTTGCTGCCATACAACAAAGGCAGGATTTGCCTGAGAGAGATTAGTTGTGGGATCAGCAATGGTTGCGGAGGGTGCAACTTCAATGCCATCAATGATTGATTGAAGGTTAAGCATGTTCAGAACAGCAGTGAACTGCAACTTCCAACTAGCAAAGATTTCACGTGAAGAGAGTTTAATAGCAAATGAGTGGCTGAGAGAGGAGATATTTGCTGAAAAGGAGAACAAGGAGGGGGCACTGGAAGTGAGGCTGGAAGCCGACGATGAGGAAGAAGAGACGATGGAAGGGCAGGAAGAAACAGATGAAGTAGCGGTTGACATGGCTATTGGAAGAGAGAGAAGAGAAGAATATTAGATCGAGAGGAACCCGGAAGCTAATACGAAGTTGAAGTCTGTAAAATGATCAGACTGAATTGATCTTTTCCATTGATACATATCACATATATAGTATACTAGTGATGTCTGGTCGCGCAATGCGCGACCCTGGCCCAGTCTATCAGTAGATCTTAGAAATATTTATATTTAAAAAAAAAAATAAAATTTTGTATTTGTAGCGATATATTTTAGAAATGTTTGAAGGATTTAGAAATGTTTTATAAGTGTGATCATAGAAATATTTGTATTTCACACACAAAAAAAAAAAATTGTATTTCGCCATGTATGTTTTAGAAATGTTTTATAAGTGTCACTTATTAAATATAAATAGCCTTAATTGAATAAATGTGTTGAAGTAAATGTTAGATAAAATATAAAAGCATCCTAATAAATTTAAATATTAGTAAGATGATTTATTGATGTTCTCCATTGGTCGTGCCAAATCAATACTTAGTTTTGGTGATTTTTAATAGTTTTGTAATAAGCTTCATCCGAAGGATATACGCTTAAAACAAAGTTGACACTTTGTAACAAAAACCTAATTGATCAATTCAATTTAAAAAACCACTCTAGTTAAATGAAACATAAAGAAAAAATAAAATTAAAAAAAAAAACGTATCACGTAAAGTGCAAAGGGAAATTTAGTAATTTAGTTATGGTTAGACAAAAGGGCAATTTAGTACTTTCTACATGCCACGTGGCAATCATATGAGGTGTTTGAAAGGGAGGTTTTTGTTTCTAATATAGTAGGATGTACAAGAGACGATAAGTACATGAGATAGAGTCCAACCACTATACAATTCAATCCTAATACATGATAACTATATATAACAGGCTTAAAACTAAAACATATCTTTAAAATTATTACAACGCTCTTCTGTTCAAGTAAAATAGTTCACTTTATCCAACTGAAATGGTACAATAAAGTATACTGAACTGAGGGATTATATGCTACACTACGTAAAATTGACTAATGACATTTTTGTTCTTGATATTTGTGTACTATCTTGTTTAAGGATTTCTTGCATTTTCTTGGGTGCGTCCCGAAAAAGAAGCCTTTGCCTGTTCATCGTAAAGTCAACGGAATCGTGAAGCCAGGAAGGTGCGCAGAAATTTCTAGTTACATATACAATTCTGCATGGACGAACTTTTATACTTTCTCTGTAAAATAATTATTATATATATATGTTTTTAATGCATGACGTAACAATCATTCTGAAATAGTAAAAAAACATTTCTTTTAATCCTTGCATAACAACAAATTGGTGTTCTTCCTTGCAGATTAACACTACTGTTGGGACCTCCAGCTTCTGGCAAAACTAATCTGCTACTAGCATTAGCTGGAAGACATCCCTCTTATCTTAAGGTATGTAGTGATCATCAAGTTCATTCTTTACTTTCTATGTCAAAAAAAAAATCATATTTGTTATATGCAATTCTACTTTAATATACAAATATATATTTTTTTATTTTGAGAAAAAAAGAATACTAAGTGCTTGTTTGGACAATGTTTTGTTTGAGTTTTTGATTTAGATTTGGGAGGTGATTTAAAATATAGTTTAATTTTTGAGTTGGATATTATTATAATATAGTGACCATTTATGAAATTAAAATAGTTCAGTGACCAAAGTGAAGGCTTTGTAATAGTTCAATGATTATTGGCACTAATTTTTCCATCACCACCGCATCACCTCCACCAGCGGCCGCTACCGTTGAGCTGCCACTGCCACCGGCAGGTAGAATTCCGGCGAGTTGGCCGAAATCTGGCCGGCCGGTGGTGGCTCAACGGCGGCGGCTGTTGGTGGAAGTAGGGCTGGTAATTCGGTCGGCTCGGCTCGATTTGGCCGAGTTCAGTTCGGTCAAATCAGATTTTTTCTTTGCAATTCAACCGACCGAAAGCGAATCGATATTCCACCTCCCCTGAATCGACCGAGCCGATTAAACATTCGGGGGAATCGGGTCGGGGCTGTTTAAACCGAAAAAAGGCTAAACTGAAATTAGGCCATTTTTTTTACAGGATTTCAAATCCTGATTCCTGATTCCTGAACTATCAACTATGGAATGGAAATCACACGCTCACAACACACAAATGAAAAAAAACTGATAAAGAGAGGATTTCAAAAAAAAAAAAAAAACCCAAATGGAAAGGAAATATGAATATGTAATCCTGTAAAAGTCACAACTCAAATGATCACAAAAATGAACACAGAAGTGATCAGTGATCATCTACTCAACTGATCAACTCATTGAGCTCACAAATGATCAACTTAAAGTTCACAACACACAAATGATCACACATTAAAAAGGTCATTACAGTATTACACATCACAAAGTCTAGTAACCAAATTTAAATTCAGAAACATTCTGAACAGAAAGCATCAAAGCAGCATCAATAGAGATACAGAACAGAATTGCGGTCAACAGCAGTTCAGTCTTCATTCTTCAACAGGCAACAACAACAGCAAACAAGCAACAACAACAGCATCACTCTTCATCCAGCAACATCATCACAGTTAATTAGTTGATTCAGTACAACTTCAAGTCTTCAAGCAGGCAGCAGCAATAGCAAATAGGCATCAGGCAACACCAACAACAACTTTCAAAAAAAAAGAAATAGTGAGTCAGTCAGCAAACTTGAAGAACATGGAAGATGAAAACCGAAGTAAAGTCTAGATTTTAGAAACCCCTGTTTCTAAAATCTGTTGAAATTCAACTTCAATGTATTTCAACAGCTAAAAAAACCTATCACACCCCTGTTTTCTTTCCCTTTTCAGCAGCTGAAAAAACGAAGAACAGTCAGTCAACAATCAACATTCAACTAAAAATAAATAGATGAATTAAAATCTTGAATGTATTTGAAATTTAAAACAAATGTAACCTTCTTCCATACGAAGGAGGTCTTCCTAACTCTCTTCAATACCTTCTTCTTCTTCTTCAAGTCTTCCCCCCCCCCCAAAAAAACAATCGTGAGTGCAAATCAAGCACTGAACAGTCTTTGGAGTTAAAGAAATCCTAAATGCATCCAATACCCTACCACTTGTGCTAAAGCATGATTCCGAAGCCACAGTTGAGACGTGAATGGCAAAAAGATCACGAATTATCAGAGAAAGGATAGGAAACCTAGGGCCGTTCACCTTCTACTAGTTCAACAGATCAAAATTTGGGCAATCTGGTTCATCATCCTCGTTCAAATACTTATCCAATTCTGTTTTTCATTTATGTTTAAAGCCCCACCAGCTTCTTCAACTTTCTTCTTCACCAACTCCATTCTAAACTAATCTCTAAGCAGCTTTGAAGGCTCGATATCAATCAGGGAAGGTCTTTTCCCCGATGAAGTTGCTTGAGATGAACTGGAATCAGAATTGGAAGGCATACTAGAACTAGGTACAGGGGCTTGGATTCTGACATAATCCGTAAACAACTCATAAATGGCGGATTTAACAGAATCATACTTATTCTTTCTATCCACTAACCCATAAACCTATTGAAATTCAACTTCAATGTATTTCAACTTATTTCTTGGATCAAAAACACATGCCATTAAAACAGTAAGATTCATCAATGCTATAGAACCATAGTTTTATCAAACTTATCCTTCATCCTTTCAGCCATCAAAGTTTGACCGTTATCATCAGTTTCATTGATGATTCTCCTCAACAAAACATCAATACAATGTACATCAGTGAAGAAAGAATCTGAGAAGACAGATTTTGTACGAGATACCTTTAAGGTTATCTCGTAAAAATGCTGAAGAATACCAACGATCCTCCTTGCTTCTACCCAATGTATTGAAGTAGGCAGTCGAAGCCCAGAATTCGGCACTTCAGGATCAAACCTCAAAGTGTCTTTAAAGTGTTGATTTCCAGTTTCATATCTCCTAAAAATTCTTGCATACACTTGAGCAGTTTCTAGCTACCACACTTCTCAATTTCAGCATATTTTCTTAGAGCTACCGCACTATTCAACCTTGTACAAACATCTAATACTAGATTCTTAGAGCTACCACACTTCTCAATTTCAGCACATTTTCTAAAACTTGCCAATCTTTTAGGAGACTGCCTAATATACTTAACTGCATCCCTAATCCTATCAACAGACTTGCCTATATATGCCAAACCATGTTTAACAATCAAATCCATCACATGAGCCATACAACAAACATGTAACCATTTAGCACCCAACACACAGTTTTGTCGGTGAGAAAATTGCTCTTTCAAATACTCAATGGCAGAATCATTAGAAGAAGCATTATCAACAGTTATGGAAAACACATTTTCATTCTCAATTTCCCAATCCAGCAAACAATTCTCAATTGCAGCCCCGATAACTAAACTCTTATAACTTGTAATCGGCAGAAACTTAAAATTTTCTTTTTCAAAGTCCAATTATTATCCATATAATGCCCAGTCAAACACATAATTTATTTGTTGCAAAGAAGTCCAAGTATCCATTGTGAAACAGATTCTACTAACATTTCCTTTCAGCTCAACTTTCAGTTTTTCTCTCTCAGATAAATATAGTTTATAACAATCATCAACAATTATCGTGCAAATCATTGCCCTAATTATTTCTTCTTCATTATACCTGCAAGTACCTACACTCGAAGGTTTTTCCTCCCCAGTTTCAATAACTAACTTACTCTGACCAGGACCTAGCTCAGAGATAAGTACTTTTTACAAACCCGCAAATGTGCTTGAAGACTACTAGTACCATATTTTTTTACTATCAGCCATATAAAAATTACCACAGTACTTACAATCAGCCCACAAAACACCTTTAGAATCTTTATGAGTAGTGAGCAGCTTGCACTTCAGTCCCCCGATCCTCAATTTCTACATCTACCGTCAATCCTTCATCATTGGGCAAATCCAGCAAAGGAGGAGGTAGTGAACCAGAACCTTTCTCAACTCTAATCTCCTCAATCTCCTCAATCTCTGCAATATCCTCAAATTTAGAATCTAGTTTTGACATCTACACAGA